GGGATTGAACCGCGGTCCCTGTGCTTTGCCAAGCTTGTTCCAAGTAGGTGCTTTAGACCACTGAGCCATCTCGCCAGCCCGGCAGAGGGGTTTTCACAAGTGAAATTTCACCAAATATCTACAGCACTATATTCTCTTCCCCATTTGCCCTGACACTCTTTTTTTTTTTTTTTCAATAGCTGTTATCATTTTAAATGCTTTTCTTTGTTGAAAATAGTTATATTTCCCTGGGTGTGATGTTCCAATCACTGTATCTAGAACTTCTCCAAAGCAGGAGAGCAGGTGACACGCAGGTTTTACCCTCCGCCCCTGCACTAGCCGCCAGGCTCTACCTGGGTGGTCAGTGTTCCAGGAGCAAACATCTATGTCATAAGACTGCAAAGTAAAGGACAGTGATGACAGTGGCATTTGGTGGTTTATTTGTTTCATGACTTTTGGCCGCTGTCAGATTTACGAAAAGTAATATGTTAGGAATATATGGGCATCTTAACAATGAGAGATTACTTTCTTTTTCAGCAGGTCGTCACTTCTGTCCTCTGAGTCTGTATGCTAAGGAGTAGGAGTTTATGTAGAAGTGGTTTCCACCAGAAACAATGAAGCGGGTGATAGGTACAACTCTGGTTTTGGTTTATAAACTTTATTAAACTAACCAAGATATGGCTCATCCATTGTGTTTGAACTACTCTATTACAAAGAAAAATATTAGGCAACTGTAAGTGAGTGGTGCCTTGGTACACATACCTAGTAGGCACACGCACTGGGAGGAAATGCTGGCTTCCAACCTGTAGTGACTGGGTGCATTGGCTGTGCTTAGTGTTCACTTGTGTTTTGGATTTTTTTTTTCTTTTCCTGATTTGATGATAAAGGAAAATTTAAATTGTGCTTCTATGAGTGTTCATCACACACACACACACACAAACACGCGAGATTGTTGTAATACTATATATAATTTAACTAATACACAAAAACTTCCCAGAAGCCATGAGTCATATTTCTTGCAGAATGTCCACTTGGTGGCCAAGTGGTTGGGAACCTTGGAGAAACTCCTTGAAGGATTCAGCCAAGGAAGCCACGAGGACTACAGGGTGTTCATGAGTGCCGAGTCTGCACCTACGCCAGATGAGCATATCATCCCTCAAGGACTCCTGGAAAATTCCATTAAGATTACCAATGAGCCCCCCACTGGAATGCTAGCCAATTTGCATGCTGCCCTGTACAACTTTGATCAGGTAAGAAAGCAGAAGCCACTCCTAGGAATATGGATGCACCCTGAGTCTGTACTCTTAAGTGAACTAAATCAGACATGCATGTGTGAATACTGCATTGTTTCTGTGGGGTGAGAAACCAAAAGTGTAAATAAGGACAAAAATGTATTTTGAAATAGGAACATGTTAAAATGGGAAGGGGAATGCAGAAGGAAAGAAAGAAAAGGTTCTTTTAAAAAGAGAAAAAAGGGCTGGTGAGATGGCTCAGTGGTCTAAAGCACCTACCTAGAACAAGCTAAGCTAAAGCACAGAGACCGTGGTTCAATCCCCCAGCACCACATGCCAGCCAGCCCCGCCCCCTGGTGGGCTGAGCTGGCCACACACACACACACACACACATAAATAAATAAATAAAATTTTAAAAAGAGGAAAAAAAAAGAGGAGGCTGGGGAGATGGCTCAGTGGAGCGCAAGGGCCTGAGTTCAATCCCCAGTTCCACCAAAAAAAAAAAAAAGAGAGAGAGAAAAGAAGGATAACATGGAAACAAAATTTTGTAAATTGGGAAGGAAGGAAGAGTTGGAGAAGAGTAAGGCAAAGGGGAAAACAAGTTATATCATGTATAGGTGCAAATTCTCTTTGATAAATACATATCTAAAATGCACCAATAAAATCTAATTTTACAAAAGGAAGAAGAAACAACCTGGGCTAACAATATAGATCTTCTCACAAGGTTATAGAGACCCTCATCACCTCACACATCTCATTGAGAGGGGTAGAGTAAAATCTCCAGTGTACATGAGTATTCACATACATGTGGCTGGGTGTATACGTGTTTGTGTGTACATTTAAGTCTCTTGAAAGAATTTCCCGTCATTCCCTAGTCCAGTGATGGTGTACTTTTTAGAACTTCCAGTGATACAAAGAGCATAGGTTCGTTACCACTACCTAGTCTAACTGAGACAGATTAGAAATGGCCTCACTCTTCTCTTATTCCTCTAGCAGTTGCCGAAAGAGTTTGGTTGCCAACTGCAGCTGTAGTTGTACCCTGTGCTCAGTCTGAGTGATATCTACCCTGCTGCTGTGGGGATAATTTGAACAAAATAGTAGACTTGAATTTAGGCCAGTCATTAAGTTTGAATCAGAGGACTTGAGTTGAGACCAATTTAGGCCCATCATGAGGCTCAAATTTGGGCCAATCACAGGCCTGTTCCTATTATACAAGAGGCCCTGCTCTCACATTTGCCAGGTTGATCTAGAAGAGTTCCCTTTGTATACCGACCACCCTGTGCCACAGCCCAGGCTCTGTTCAAGTAAAGCTTCACTCTGCTGGGCCTGCCAGTATAGTCATTGCTTACTTCTTGGACCATGGTGGCTCGGAGCAACCAGCATTTACTGATGGTGGCAGCAGAAACCAGCACTGGCAAATGCCGATGACTGGTGTTGACTGATGTTGATGGGTAGCCTCATCTAGCAGTGGCAGAGAGTCAATGACCTAGGGCCCCAGGGTGTGACACTAGGAGCCAAGGGCTATGGGCACTCAGAGCCACAGAGGGCCAAGGACCCTGTTAGTCTGAGCCTGGAGGCATTAACAGAGCTGCACTTTGCTGATTCACAATTTCTATCCACATTGAGCAAAGGAGCCCTCAAGTGATTAGCAACACAATGACCGAGAAGTGGATTTAAGTTTGACACTAACACTACGATCTCCGTAGCCACATGTGTAGGCCGAACATGTAAGCTTTCTGAGGAAGCTGCTTCTGAAAGGTGCAGGCGGAGAAACAGAATCTCTAGTGACAGGAGGAGGAGCGTTTGTTTGGTGATGACAGTGACATGAAGGAATTTCAAGAAGTTTCAGGTATAGTTTCGATATTAGTAAATTCAGAGTCTCTGTTTTCAGGTTGTATGTATGGTACTACTCTATTTATGTTTTCATTTCATTTCCAAGTGTACCAAATTAATCGCTACATATTCAAGTTAATGATAGCCACATTACTATTTTTTTCTTTTCTAAATTATACCATCTGTATCATGACCAGATCCTCCAGTCTCTATTTTTGTTACTGCTCTGTGTTCCTATTCTTTTCCCTACTTCTTGGAAATCCATCAAAAGTAGTGCTTTTATTAAGAAAGTGCAGTGAAGCCCAGTGTAATGGCACAGTCTTGTAATCTTAGCACTGTAGGGGCTAAGGCAGGAGGGTCACAAGTTGGACCCCAGCAAGGGAAACAGTGTGACCCTGGCTCAAAATTTTAAAAAAGCTTAGCTCAGTGCAAGATCCAGAGGTTTAATATTTATTTATTTTTATTTATTACATTTATTTATTGTGTGTGTGTGTGTGGCCAGCTCAGCCCACCAGGGGGTGGGTCTGGCTGGCATGTGGTGCTGGGGATCGAACCGCGGTCCCTGTGCTTTGCCAAGCTTGTTTCAAGTAGGTGCTTTAGACCACTGAGCCATCTCTCCAGCCCCCAATCCAGAGGTTTAATACCCAGTACTGGAGGGAAAAAAAAAAAGTACAGTGAACCCTCAAGAGGAAAGACACATGATTGGTTATTCAACTTCCTATTACATCTGTTATTATTCTCTATGAAGCACCCCAACATGCTAGGCTTTTTCTCTAGTACCTTTTCGGCCAATACTCAAGCCAACATCATGAAGGAATTATAATTGCCCACCCCCAAAAAAATACAGTATTGAAGAATACATTTAATTATCTAATGAAATAACTTATGACATAGACATAAAACACTATATAAACAACATCAACAGACACTTAAAAAGTCTTGCTGTGGGGCAGGGGAGATGGCTCAGTAGAATAAGTGCTTCCCTGGCAAGCGCAATGGCCTGAGTTCAATCCCTGGTTCCGCAAAAAAAAAAAAAAAAAGTCTTGCTGAATCTTTTAGATATTTGCAATATACATTCACAATGGTAGGCATATTATTTGATTGTTTTGGGGTTTTTTGGTACCAGGGATCAAACTCAGGACCTTGTGCTTGCCAGGCAGGCACTTATTCCATTAGGCTATATCCCCAGCCCATATTATTTGTTTTTTTACAATTTTTAAAAATTCATAATTTCCAGCCACCAGTGAAACATTCAAGTTTCTTCCCAGAATAGCTATTAACTATACAATGTATTCACTCTTCTAAAGTAGTTGTCCATATAGAGAAACAAATATACCCCCAAGTTGTCCTTCAGCTTGTGTGTGTGTGTGTGTGTGTGTGTGTGTGTGTGTGTGTGAAGACGACCTTGGAAACTGAAGAAAATTTTGGATACCTGTGCAAGGTAAATGCACATTCACTTTATTACATATGATAACAGAGACTCACAGACCTATTAAAGCCTGTGCATGAAGGCTCTCGTTAACAGTACCTGTTCTTGTCTATTCATAAAGATGTTCCTTCTCTTGACTGCTATCTATTAATTAAATAGTATTTTTGTTGGAAAGACATTTCAGAACTTTAGGGAGAAATAACCCTTTTTAGTGAAAGGTTACTCTTAAGTAGTAAGAGTAAATTTGGTCATACAGCAAAAGCGAAGATAATCCAAGTGGTTCACTAACTTCTCCACAAACCTATTTCAGCAAAGATGACAGTCTTCTATGAATGCTGAATCGTCATTGTTAGAAAACAACGCATAGGGGCCTGGGAGATGGCTCAGTGGAATAAGTACTTCCCTGGCAAGCGCAAGGGTCTGAGTTCAATTCCTGGTTCTGCCAAAAAAAAAGAAAAAAGAAAAAGAAAATAATGCATAATCACTTAGATTATGTAATTTAAGGATGTTTGCCTTTGCCCCTAGCTATCTACAAATAAGTTCCCAGTACACTTTTTTTAATCAGTTACGAGTTGGCTATTTTGGGAAGAAGTGCTTAGGAAATAACAGTTGCTTAAACTGGGTTAAAAAGTATTTTTGCTCCATGAGAGTTCTAGAAGTGGACCTCACAAACCGAAGTCATCAAAGTGGTGGTCATCCTGGCTGGTCGCAGCTCACTGTGGCCCCAGGTGGGAGTAAGATTTGCAGCACTGTATCCATGTTACCAGAAGAGGGAAACGGGATGATAGAGAAAATATGTGTGCTTTTTATTAAAGATGATTCCTATGCGTTCATATAGAGATCTTCCTGCATCCGTGGGGGACACATTCCAAGACCCCCAGTAGAGGCCTGAAGCTGTGGGCAACACCAAATAAATAAATCGTGTGTGTGTGTGTGTGTGTGTGTGTGTGTGTATTTTTCTTCCTCTGCATACATATCTATGATAAGTCAATAATTCATAAATAGTACAATAAGTGATTAGCAATAAAAACTAAAAATACTTATAACTGTGTATTATAGTAAGCTATTTAAAACTTATTGTATATTTCTGGAATTTTCTATTTAGTAGTTTCTCTTGGTGTTTGACTATAGCTAACTGAACTGCAGAAAGCAAAATTAAAAATAAGGAGAGGCTGGGGAGATATCTCGGTAGTCTAAATTCCTGCCTGGCAAGCGCAAGGACCTGGGTTTGATCCCCAGTACTGCATGCCAGGCCAGCCCTGTGCCATGCCAGCCACCGAAACCAGGCATGGAGGCACATGCCTGTAATCCCAGCACTGGGTGAGGCAGGAGGATCACTATGAGTCTGAACTGCATAGTGAGACCCTGTAACAAATCAATACATAAAATTTTTTAAAAAGGAAAGTTAAGGGCCAGGGAGATGACTCAGTGGAATAAGTGCTTCCCTGGCAAGTGCCAGGGCCTGAGTTCAATCCCCACTTCCGCCAAAAACAAACAAACAAAAAGGAAACTTAAAAGAGAGGGCCTGTACAATACATAGATCTTTCATCTCATGGTCAGACTTAATCACAGTTTATTACCCACATATAAGAGAGACTGAGAAAATTAAATTTATCTTCAGCAGATAAAAATCAGCAAGGAAACAGTTTAGGACAGGTAACAGGTGTTCCATGTCAGATGTGTTTCTTTCTAAACTCTCATGTCTTCCATGACACACTGCGTTGCTTCCGTGGCTCAGTCTTGCCAAAGTCTGTGA